TTTAGTAGGGGGATGTGGCGGACGCCCGATTTCATGCCGCGGCCTGCAGGCCTCTACGTCCCTCAGAGCGACGCGATGGGCGGGAGTGGGGTCAGCAGGGCTCCCCTGGCGGGTGCACGGGCGGCCTGTTTTCTTGCTGACTCCGACTCCGGAGGTCCAGCGTCTCGCGGTGAGTGGTAGCCGAGTACGCGGCACGTTTGTGGCAGCAACGGGAAAAAGTTTTGGGGGGAATAAAGTAAAGATGGATTGAGGCTTTACTCATTTCAACAAAAGTGCTGCATATTCGATGCTTCTTAACGTGGGCAATAGCGCAGAAGTCTGTATCGTGTGGAAAGGCTGCATTGCTTGTCTAGTTGCGTGAGTAAAGTGGGTTTCTGTAGCGATGGAGCGTGTTTAGAGGGTTGTAGTTGAGTTTGCCATGCTAATGCGTCGTCATTTTACGCCTGGAGGATCCGGGGTTGGATGGTATACTTCCAAAGAGAGGAGAAAGGGCTTGAAGACGTGCTGCTAGTTGTGTGTAAGCACTGCTTGTAGTTCTGGTAGGTGCAAAGGGAAAGGAAACATTTGGTGGGGAAAAGGATGGCTGCGATGATGGTATTTCTTAGGACACCTTTGGATTAATCATGAAAACAACTACTCTCTGAGCAGCTGTGGGTGGCATTCTTAATTTAAACTGCATTGATGATTATAAATATGTATTATTGACATAATTATGCTCTGCTCCCCCCATTCCAGGTGATTCGTGAAAATGGTTCGCTATTCACTTGACCCAGAAAACCCCACAAAATGTAAGTGAACAGGAGATAAATACATATTTCCTATTTGGGAGTAGGCATAATAAAATACCTAAAATTAACCAAAACGTATTTATTTTCTAGCATGCAAGTCAAGAGGTTCAAATCTTCGTGTTCACTTCAAGGTGTGTGAATCATAGTTATGATCTAAATGAGTCTACAATGTTCAGTATTTCTTAACCATTCTACAAAGCTAGCTGCAGTGATGTCTTTCTTAGGACACCTTTGGATTTACCATGAAAATTAATGAATTCTGAGCAGCTACCTCTTTTTAGACACTAATTATTGATAATAATGAGCTCTTTGATTTAGGATTTGTGGAATTGAGTAAAACTACCAGAGAACTATTTGAGAACCTATTTGTGCAGATACAGGACACAAAATTGTAATTACAAGATGGTGAAATTACACCATTTATTTAGTGAATAGAGATGTAGGATTAATCTTATTGAGCCTCAAATGAAGTCACCCTGGTTCTTAGATTTTATCATCTCATCTCTCAAATACAGAAAGGGCACAGTGACTCACAGCACTTGGGGAGACCTAGGTGGGAAGGAGGGTTTCTTGAGGCCGAGTTCAAGACCAGCCTGGGTGACATGGTGAGACCCTTGTCTCTATAAAAAACAATAGGAGGTTTTAACTGATAGGTATTTTGAAGATCTTAAAACTTAATGTTTACATTTTAGATAATAAAACTTTGGCATGGCTAACCAGCACTTTTTATTGTTCATACTTAGAACACTCGTGAAACTGCCCAGGCCATCAAGGGTATGCATATACGAAAAGCCACCAAGTATCTGAAAGATGTCACTTTAAAGAAACAATGTGTACCATTCCGACGGTACAATGGTGGAGTTGGTAGGTGTGCCCAGGTGAGACTTTTTAATTGCCATTTGAAAAGACAGATTGTGTGGAGAAGTGGTTGATAGGGTAAGAATGGCTAAGATCTGCCTTTATTAGGTTCTTTCTGGTTGTTAGGATGACAGTCTGAGGACACTTTTGGATTAACCATGAAAGACACCTTGATGTTGGATAAAATATATTGATCTTTGTTCTAATGTTAATTAAGTCAGAGAAAATGACTAATTACCTCCCTTCTCTTTCAGGCCAAACAGTGGGGCTGGACACAGGGTCGGTGGCCCAAGAAGAGTGCTGAATTTTTGCTGCACATGCTTAAAAATGCAGAGAGTAATGCTGAACTTAAGGTACCCAAACCATTAACATCCTTAATTGCACGACTTGGATGGTTAATTAATGTTGCTGTTTAGATTTATATCCTAGATTGTCTTGCTCTCTTAGTAGTTAGCTCTCATTTGAAAAATTGTTTTTTGCATTTCTTCCTGCAGTCTCCATGGAACCAAATTTTGTCTGTAGATTTCCAGAAGTATGGCCTATAGTCTGTTTAACCCCAATGCTTAGTGTTTCCCTTATCCCCCCAGAGCTTTAAAAAGTTTTTTTTCTCCTTTTTACCCCAAGGGTTTGTAGCCTTTCTTGGGCCATGCACCTTTTTGGTTGTATGGTTAATTATGAAAATGATTGCCTTAGCCGTGGTTAATGTGGTTTATTGCCTATATTCCTTGTGGAGAGATGTTATATTTTCGGATATAGGTTAAAACGATGATGTAATTAACAAAACAAGTGCTTTTCCTTTTGGAGTATTAGCCATTATTTTTGCATTTGAAGATCTGGGCCAGAACTGGAATTAGTTTTTGTCTGTCTGGCTCCAAACTTCTGCCTTCTAAGCCATGCTGCCATAATCTATTGATCATCAGAATTCATTCCAAACTCAATCTTGGAATTTGGCTCTTCCTTGCTCCTCAATTCTTCACCCCTCTTTAATGACCTTCAGGAAGGCCACTCGTAAACAACATGATTTAGCACACTGAGTTTGGTGGTGATTTAGACACTTAAAGGTGAAAGCAGACAACTGCTTGAACAAATAAGCTGTTCTAAGTCTTAAAGGATTGCTTTCCAAAAATGATTCATTAGGGCAAGGTTAGGAATAGTATTTACCAATGGTAGTTTGTGGTGTTAAGATAATTCAAGGTGTTATTTGATTTTGTTCTCCCTCCCCTCTTACCAGGGTTTGGATGTAGATTCTCTGGTCATTGAGCATATCCAGGTGAACAAAGCACCCAAGATGCGTCGCCGAACTTACAGAGCTCATGGTCGGATTAATCCATACATGAGTTCCCCCTGCCACATCGAGATGATCCTCACTGAAAAGGAACAAATTGTTCCAAAACCAGAAGAGGAGGTTGCACAGAAGAAAAAGGTAAATTCGTAGTTGCTTGGTTTTGTTTGTGTGTGGTATTAGAAAGATTGGTGGTTGCTATGATGACTATCTTAGGACACCTTTGGAATAACCATGAAAGAAAACTATTCTGAGCAACCTGGCCCCACCTAGATGTACATAGCCAATTCATACGTCCCCCAAATGAGCCCTCCTCCCCTATCCCAAAATCTGATGATTAATATTCTCTTCTTACCAAATGAGTTTAGCTTCTCCTTTTATCATTTAAGTATTTATTTTCTGTCCTTTTTCTGCCTTGGTCCTTTACAACTGGGCTTCCTGTGCCCAGTCTTCCACATAAACTATCTTGAAGATGTAGTGTGGATTTTTGTAAGACGCTTAATCTTTTTATTTTTGTTTTTCCCCAGATATCCCAGAAGAAACTCAAGAAACAAAAACTTATGGCACGGGAATCGAGGAGTGTATATCAGGTATGGTATTACTGGCTTCCGTTTTGTGCGTTTGGTAAATAAAAGAGTAAAGCAGTAGGAATATATTGTGGATTGGCTGTTATAGGCAAACTTTTTTGACATGTCTTCACAAGATGGATCGAATGAGTTTTCTTAGAGGCGCAGGTTACTTTGCCATTAAAAAACATTGGGCTGGGTACGGTGGCTCACACCTGTAACCCTACACTTTGGATTTATTCTCATTGGTAGGCTTTGGTTGGGTCTGGCCAGATGGGCATGTGTGAGGTGTTCAGGCATAGACGCCTTAGTCAGAACAGAAGAAAACATATAAACAGATAATTAGCGGACAATCTTGAAATGAGATTATTGATAGTGAAAAGCTGGGCATGGGTGTGCACATGGCCGTGTAGTGTCTCAGGCTGCTCAGTTGGAGGCTATGGAGTTGTAGATTGTGTCTGTTGACTAAGCTGATTGACCGTGGTCACTCTACCTGTGCATACCAGTAGTTGAGTGTGTACGTTTTAATTGCAAGAATATGATCTAGGTAATGTGATTAATGTGGATTGAGCATCACTTCGACTGGAATGCTCCATAGAGTGTTGTGTGTATCGGTGTGCTATATAAAAGTTACAGTATGTGTGTTGTTTCTTTGGATTAGCGGGATTGTTTCATGTACTGTCATGATTTATCATTGGTGGATATAATGAGGGTGTTGTATTATGATAGATTACAAAAGCAGAAGCTGTGAGCCTTTGTGTAAAAACGTTTTCATTTTTCTTTGGTATATATTCCGGTGAAATTGCTATTTCATGTGGTAGTTTCAGTAAACGTGGGGGACTGTCAGACATTATTAAAGAGGCTGCACAATTTAAGTTTCCACCTGTAGTGTATGAGGGCTCCGATTTATACACGACCTTGGCAATGCTTTCCAATTTCCATCTACAGGGTGTCCCAAAAGTCCCCATACATAAGGGATATGGGAAGTTGTAGCTAAATGTACGCTTACAAAATATTCATTAGTTTTTTCTTTATGGAAACACCCTGTATATGTCTATAGCTTTTATGCACTGATGTCTACGGCTGACTTTAGTTTCTTCTACTGTTGGATTTAAGATATTTATAACGGAGCGAATAGCTTAACCACAACTGCATCTGAGGACAGTATCGCGCCAGTGGTGTACGCTTCCCCGCGGGTGGTGAGCCTTCCGCACAGCCCTCTAAAGAATGCTAAGCTCCGCGCTCTAGGCCTGGGCGTAGCTCGGATTTTCTTCTCGGAGCTGGTCTTAGAGGCGGGTGCCTGGGAAACGTGAATCCCCGCGGGCCGCGGCGCCGGAAACCCCTCCCCCCGGCCCTCCCGGGCGTCGCCCTACGTGCCGTGCGACCTCGGGCTGACGCAGGCGTGCCTTTGTCACTCTGTGCGGGCGCCTATTGGCCCAGCTGTGGCTCGTCCCTCCCTCCGGAAGTGCGGACGTTGTCATTTGTGCTTCGCAGTCGCCGGTGAGCGGGGCTGGGGTGGGCCCGGGCTAGGGGCCGGGAGTGGGCTCTGGCCTCGGCGCTCCCGCGGCGCTTTGTAGCTGCTCGGCAGCCTCCAGGCCGGCGCGGTTGTCCGCTCTGCCCTGCTGGGCGCGTCGCGGCCGCCTGCACTCTCCGGGGACGCCCGGCTCGGCTCTCACGGTACACCCCGCTCCCAAACGCGTGCCTCCACCGGCCTCCCTCGCCCTTTCCCGGACCCCGTCCTTCGTCCACCTGCCCTCGGCACCTCCGCTCCGCCGCTCCTCTCCTTTATGTCCGTTCTTTCCCTTGGCCTCGTATTGTCGGTTTCACTCCCTTTTGTGATCCTCACCTTGGGACCTTATCTACGTTTTCTTTGCCTCAACCTGTCCCCGCTCCCTGTGTCTCCACTGACATGATCGGCTGAACTGGGTTACCTAGAGAGGCGGCCCTCCTACTTACCTGCCCTATCTCGGATAGAGCCTCTAGCGTGTTCCTCGTTCCATTGTCTCGGACTGAATCGAGTGAAAGAAGATTCCTCAGCAACAATTTTTATCCATTTTCCTCGATTTGCTGGCTTGGAGAAGGTAACTAAAATAATGAATCTCTCCTAGCCACCTTCTGGACTTTTCTAACACAATTTCTACGTATATGAAGTAAAGTATCTTATCAAAAAGTCAGGATGAAGCGATAAAATACAAGTAGCTTCATTCTGAAGAGAGCTAAAAAGCTTTCTAGCAGCCATAATTGTGGCATAAGTAATTAGTATTTGTTCTTGAGAGTTTTATTTACAACATAATTTCTATGAACTTACTGAAAACACAACGATTATCTTTATGATGGAGAGATTGCCAGTCACCAACTTAACCTAGTACTGGTTAGTATTGCCCACTTGTTTTGAAGGTGTTTAGTTGGTTTTGAAGAGGAAAAGTCTACAGCATTGAGCTAGAAAACGAACTGGGAATAATGTAGTTACTTAGTTACCTATGTGTGAACTTTGAACAGGTCACAACTTTTGGATTTTTCCCCCTATGTAATATTTATATAGGACTTTATATGAAGACACTGTACACTACATCCTAATGAGATAGATACTATTATTGTCTTAATTTTACACATGAGGAAATTAAGGTACAGTCTGATTAAATACCTTTCCCAAAAACACCATTAAGAAAGTGTGAAAGCAAGTCTCAAATCCAGGTAACTGGTAGCTCCCAGCCAAACTCAGCTTAACTGCTGTGAGGGTGCAGGACCTCTACCTAATCACCTCTGAACTCTCTTCAGATCAGATTGTAAACATCTGTAGCCAAAAATAATGATAACTCGAAAAATACTGAAAACGACTCACTGCTTATTTGGCTTATTTTAATTGGAGAATATGTTCTTTAACTTTTTGGGACCAATTATTTCAGTGAATTCTTAGACTGTTATTGTAATTTAACCAGGGGTTGTGTCAGAGTCCAATTATGAATCCTTTGCAAAATAGCTGGCTTGATGTAAATTTACATTTTTATTTGTTTATAGTTCTTGTTTGTAATTCGTTTCAAAGCCACATTCAGATTGAGTTCACTCATATTGTGAATTACATAAAAATTGCCTTAGTGTAGTAATGGTGCTGACTCATTTGCCAACAAATACTACTTAATTTACAATATTTTAAAAATAAGAAATTTTAACATCCTGGATTATGCCTTATGCACTGTTCTATAGTTTCTTTTTAAGGCCTTCCATCCTACTTTTTAAGAGATTAAAACTTCTTTTAAATTTAAAAGGCCTTTTGGCATAATAATTTCTAATCATCAAAGAAATTAGAGGCGTTAATTTTTTGAAATGGATGATTTACTTATACGATAATGTTAAATAAAATTTTTATTACTCGGCACACCTTTAATTATGCCCTTAAAAATAAAAGCAAAGTATAGAAAAGGACAGTTGTTGCCTGGGAAACATCAGCTGGGTCAGCTGATTTGCAGCCTAGAGGCCTTCCAAAGTAATATATTGGTAAGTTTCATATTTTGGATTTGCCTTCAGCATTGTAGGTTTGGCTAATTGATATTGTCAGTCCCTGAAGATTGGGACTTGGGAGTTAACTTACACTAAGTCTGCTCCACACTTTAAATGGAGTGTAAGTTGTAATATTAAGTTTAAAGTTTTTGTGCCTTTGTTTTTTTAAATCTGTAAATGGAGATAGCAAAGGCACCCAGCCTCACTGGGTGTTTTGAGAATTAAATGAATTGATAAGTGTAAACTGCCTAGCACCTACCAAGTGTTGGTGTCTTTCTAGTATCATCACATTTATTTATAATTAGGGAGCAGTGATTGGAAAGGTTTGGAAGCAGGCACTTCACTATTATTTCTACCTATTATGTTTTTACCTCACAGATAGCATTTTTATTTAATAAACTCTTGCTTTTAGCAAATGATATGTTTTAAGTTTTTCCTTCACTGTAAAAATTGGTCCTTTTAGATATCTTAATCTAGGTAAATTCATTACTTTGTGATGAACTAATTTTTTTCTTTAACAGTAGGAGCTCAAGCCTGGGACAATGGTGTGCATTCCTTGTATTGTCATTCCAGTTCTGCTCTGGGTCTACAAAAAATTCCTGGAGCCGTACATATACCCTCTGATTTCCCCTTTTGTTAGTCGTATATGGCCTGGAAAAGCTGTACAAGAATCCAGTGATAAAAATAAAGGCAAAGTAGACTGTAAGGTAAGAACATTCAAATACCTTGAATAAGGGTGGGGAAAGGGGTAGTTCTCAGGTAAAACACTTGGATTTTGAAAAGGCAAGTTTTTGAAACAAGAAGCTTCAGTAATTTGTCTCAATCTAAGTAATTAACATTTGGCTTAAACTATGGTTTTAAACTAGGCCTGTGATTAATACATTAGTTCCCTGCCTTATGCCAAGATATGATAACCAGTATTTCCTGGCTGGTAAGCATAATAGTAGGTAGTTAATGGATGAGAGAGATGGTATACATATAAGCCAGTTTCACTGATTGATAACTTTGTTAAGAGATTTAATTGGAAGGATCACAGAATTTTTTTTTTTTTTTTTTTTTGAGACAGTCTCGCTTTGTTGCCCAGGCTAGAGTGAGTGCCGTGGTGTCAGCCTAGCTCACAGCAACCTCAAACTCCTGGGCTCAAGCAATCCTCCTGCCCCAGCTGGGCAGGAGGAGTAGCTGGGACTACAGGCATGCACCACCATGGACAGCTCATTTTTTCTATATATATATTAGTTGGCCAATTAATTTCTTTCTATTTATAGTAGAGACTGGGTCTCACTCTTGCTCAGGCTGGTTTCGAACTCCTGACCTGGAGCAATCCGCCCATCTCAGCCTCCCAGAGTGCTAGGATTACAGGCGTGAGCCACCGCGCCTGGCCAAGATCACAGAATTTTTTTAAAAAAACAAAATTATTTTTTTAAATGGATATTTACACAACTCTGTAGATATTGGTGCTTGTTAGATTCAACTTTGCACTAATTTAGCAATCCTGCACATTTCTGGAAGCAAAGTTTTTTCACTCTGGTTTGTTGTCTATTTGTAAAAGAGTATGTCTCTTATAATGAGTCTTTTTGTTGTAATAATTCCTAAAATGCTTTTTTCATTTTAGGGTGGAGACATAAATGGAGTACCAACAAGAGGACCAACAGAAATCTCTGATAAAAAGAAAGACTAAAGCAATTTTCCCAAAGAATCTTGTTTTAAAAATGGACCTGAAAATATGAAGCACCTTCTTTGTAATTGTCTCTGACCTTTTTCACTGAGACCAGAATTCGGGATAGTTAGGTTAGATATTTACCTGATACTAATCAGGAAATATATGGTATCTGTATTTAAAATGTAGTTAGTTATATTTAATGATCTAATTCCTGAGTTCCTTTTTCACTAATGTAGCTTTCATTCCTATTATTGCCGTTTTAACAATATGAATAAATAGAAGGTTTGTGCCAGTAGATACTCAGTTACTAAATCAGTACTTAAAAACCTTTGGTCTTTCATGCACATGCATTGGGCTGCTGTTTACTCTCAATTCTTGGGCTCCTCAAATTTGAGTGGATCACAGTTTTACTTTGAAACAGTTAAGTGAGACTGTGCCATGAAATGAAGAGTAGAATTTTTGGGCGATGATGATGATGATGTAAAAAAAAGATCCACTACTATCCAACACAGTGAAGCAGTTTGTCTGTGAAAGTAGGAATTACTATTTATTGCTCTGAGAAGATAGGAAATACAAGAAAACGGAAAACCTCTTTTACATAAATATCTAATGTATATTATAAAATTCTAATCCTTGTTGCATTCCTTCTATTCCTACAGATGTATTAAACATACAGTTTAACTTGTGGTTCTTTTTTTTTTTTTAAGTCTATTTAAATCTTTAAAAGGGAAATTTTTTTTACCATATCAGAAAGCAGAATTTTAATATTTTGATAGTATGTGGATAGTGATGGGACAAAAGTGACCTCCAAAATTTAGATAGTACAAAATTTAGTGGTTTTCAGCAATAGTGACTTGACTGGGTAGTTTGCTGGTCTGGGCTTGCTCATATGGCTGGGGGCCTGGGTCTCCATGTGGCCTTTCCTCTTGGCTTCTTCACTTCAGTGTAGGGATCTCTAAATATTCAAAGATGATGAGATGTATCTTTATATCATATTTCTCTAAATCAGGGAGAGATTAGAAGAGACTCTTGCTATTAGGTCCCCAGTAAAGTCCTGGGTCCTAACTGAGACTCTGGTAAGCCCTGTTTCTGGCCAAGTCATTGGTCCATTCTGGACATTATCTGATGTTAATCAGTAGGTCCCAACTTCTATGCTCCAACCCACCTGAGAAATAAGGTAAATTCAGCTGTGCACGGTGGCTCATGCCTATAATCTAAGTACTTTGGGAAGCTGAGGTAAGAGGGTTGCTTGAGGCCACGAATTCAAGACCAGCCTGGGCAGCATGTCTACACACACACACACACACAAAATTTTTTTTTTGAGACAGAGTCTGACTCTGTTGCCTGGGCTAGAGTGCCGTGGCGTCAGCCTACCTCACAGCAACCTCAAACTCCTGGGCTCTAACGATCTTTCTGCCTCAGCCTCCCGAGTAGCTGGGACTACAGGCATGTGCCACCATACCCGGCTAATTTTTTCTATATGTATTTTTAGTTGTCCAGCTAATTTCTTTCTATTTTTAATAGAGATGAGGTCTTGGTCTTATTCAGGCTGGTCTCGAACTCCTGACCTTAAGCCATCCTCCCGCCCTGGCCTCCCAGAGTGCTAGGATTATAGGCGTGAGCCACCACGCCTGGGCAACACAAAATTTTTAAAAGATAAATTCCCAACTAAATTCAGTTAATGCGTTCATTTTTTTAAGGTATAAAAGCTACATTATAAAGACAGCAGATGTTCATAGTAAAACAATGCAAGAGCATATTAAAAGTTGATGTTCTTTCTCTGATTCCCTTATTCTGTCTTCATGGATGTAACCACATGGTTTCTTGTGTAGTCTTCTAGCAACTGACTTTCTCTTTTTTTACTGCCCCGACCTCCCAACTAGTAACTTTCTTAAAATTAATTTGTCTTTATTAAACATACATATCATTTTTAATTTTATTGTTTTGAGACAGGATCTTACTCTGTCACTTAGACTGGAGTGCAGTAGCATGATCATGGCTCACTGCAGCCCCAAACTCTTGGGCTCAAGGCATCCTCCCACCTCAGCCTGCTGAGTGCTAGGACTACAGGTGCATACCACCACACTCAACTAACTACTTTTTGTAGAGATGGGATCTTGTTATGTTGCCTAGGCTGGTCTCAAATTCCTGGCCTCAAGAGACCCTCCAGCCTCAGCCTCTGATAGTGCTAGGATTATAGGCATATACGCCCGGCCTTTCATTTTTAAAAACTCAAACAGGTGGGGAGCAGTGCTTCTGCTCACAGGCCAAGCGTGGTGGCTCACGCCTGTAATCCTAGCACTCTGGGAGGCCGAGGGGGGAGGATCCCTCAAGGTCAGAAGTTCGAAACCAGCCTGAGCAAGAGCTACTAAAAAAAAAATAGAAAGAAATGAATTGGCCAACTAAAAATATCTAGAAAAAATTAGCCAGGCATGGTGGCGCATGCCTGTAGTCTCAGCTACTTGGGAGGCTGGGGCAGGAGGATTGCTTAAGCCCAGGAGTTTGAGGTTGCCGTGAGCTAGACTGACACCAGGGCACTCACTCTAGCCTGGGCAACAAAGTTGAGACTCTGTCTCAAAAAAAACAAACTCAATGTTGCAAGGTTTATAATGTCCCTGCTCCCTTAATTCCCAAGGGCTTTACCTATTGAGCTATTGCTTTTAGTATTTATCTCTAAATATTATTATTTATTTAATAGTACACATATATGTGTACTATTTCTAAATAGTACACATATATTGTGATTTTTTTGAGCTATCAACTTTAGACATTATTGACTTCCCGTCATGGTTGAGATAAAGCTGTCTTACACTCTACTCCCACACATCCTCCCAATATGCTTTTGGAAATTCTGCTTGTCGTTAGTGTTTATAGCATTATTAGTTTTCCAGGTGCCTTCTATTGGCCCATCTAAATCTCCGCCCCTTTCATTTTGCTTTTCTGCCCAAGAAAGCCGTATGGACTGCACCAAGAGGCTTCCCAGGCTCTGGGTTCTGCTGAGTTTGACCAGCAGGAGGTGGAGGGAGAATGAGGGTAGGGTGTTTTTTATTCCTTGGCTCCCTTCCTGTGGGGGTCTCTTCAGGCCAACTGTGCTTCAGGCTGAAGTTACTATGCCTCAAGACAGCCAACTCCATGTCACTCCTTTCAGTTGCCCCTAACCCCTCCTCCTCACCCTTTTGGGCCTGGGGGTGGTATTATTTCTGTTACTGCTGGCACCGGGTTACTGCTTCCTGTCAGTGCCATCTGCTTGCTGCCGCCCTGACTGATAGAATGAGAGCATGTCATACTGCTCCCTGCAGATCATAAGAGTGTGCTGGGACTGCATTTCCCTTCGCATACAAATGGTGTTTCCTAGAGTCGCTAATTACCTTTTTCTCCCCACGCATTTCTCTTGCCACTGGAATTTGCTGGCCACCTTCCTGTGTTGGGGTTCTTGTTTCCTAGATCCCACAGCTTCGTCTTTCTTGGTTTATTCCCATTTTTTTTTTCTGTAGCCCATCAGTTTCAAATTCAATATATGAAAAATATTTTATTTTTATGAAAAATTTATTATTTTGTCCATTTTTTATTTTAATAGCTAGCTCTTGAAAGCTTTTATCAGTTCCCCACAGGCAGAGTAGCCGCTGTTCTATACCACACAAGTATTCCTTTGCCCCAAAATACTGATATCAGTCGATCTATAGTTCAGGGCTTCCTTTCTAGTAAGAGCTACCATTGTTAAACACATTGTACCTGGCACTGTGCAGGGGTATTTCACACACATGAACATATCTGATCTTTATAAGACTGAAATACAGTCAAGAAAATGGGATCGTAGAATTTAGATATGTTAAGTGGGAATCTAGGATTTCACCGTCATAGTCCTAACTTGCTTTGTCTAAGAAGCTACTAATGCCTTAATTGTTAGGAATACCTTACTGGGAATAATCAGGCAGAAATGGAGAGGGGGAGTTTGGATTAATCAGTATTTGTGAACTCATTTTAAAGTTTTTATTTTGCTGAACCTGCAGCATGACTTTTTAATTTTAGCTTTTTTTCTTTTAAAAATAAAATTTCTTCCTTCTTTTACTTTCTTCTTTGACCTTCTTTTGGAGATATAATTTACCTAGTTTTTAATAACTTATTTTTGCCTCGTTAATTTTAACCACACTTTGTGTCTCTTCTGGTGAGTCAGGCTCATTTTCTCAGGTAATTGTACACGGCTCCCCAAAAGGCTCTTGGGCTTTGTCACATTTTCATCACTGAACTGCCTTCCTAGATAATACAGGTGAGTCAGCACTTCCTCAAAATGCCCATCACTGGCATGCTGAGCCATTAGGCGGACTGGTGGGACTGAAAAGAACTTTTAACGCTGAATGCTGTAAGACTAAGTATTCTGGGTTCACTGTCAAGCAAAAAGGAAGCAGAGGGAAGATGCCTCGTGGTTTCCTCCCCAGGGAGCTACTGGCTTTTTCCATCCTCAAAACTATATTTATTGACATGGCAACAGCTTCTTAACGAAGAAGCAAAGACTATGGCTGCTAAGGTTTGAATGTCCCCTCAAAACTCATGTTGAAACTTAGTCCCCAATGTGGCAGTATTGAGAGGTGGAGCCTTTAAGAGGCGACTGGGTCATGAGGGCTCTGCCTTAATGAATGGATTAATGGGTTATCTTGAGAGTGGACTGGTGGCTTTATAAGAGGAAGAGAGACCTGAGTTGGCACACTCAGCCCCCTCACCATGTGATACCCACCTTGGGACTCTGCAGAGGTTCTCACCAGATGCTGTCCCCCAACCTTGGACTTCTCAGCCTCCATAACTGTAAGAAATAAATTTGCTTTCTTATAAATTACCCAATTTTAGGTATTCAGTTATTGTCCCAACCCGAGGGACCTTCTGTTACTCTCGGGGGTCAAGGGGGACCGTGCCTGAAAGAGATGGGCGAGAGAAAGGAACGAGACCAAGCAAAGGGTTGTCAAGGTCTGCTTTACTAGGTTTTTCGTTGGTTTTATAAGCATACAGAAACAAGTAGGGAGGGCAGTGGGTTAGGTGGATCTGTCAAAAACAGTTTAGGGTCAATCAGTTACAAACATCCTAGGGTTTATCAATCACAGATAGCCTCTGGCGCCAGCCTGGAGGGTTTATCAGTCACAAACAGCCTCTGGCGCCAAGCCTGGGATATCTTGCGATCTTTCTCAGAACGGCCATAAAGCACCTTTTGACAGCTCAGGGTATTTATGGGTTAAGACCCTCAAAGGCTCGGTTCCTAACATCTCCCCTCTCTCTTTATTATATGAGGGAGATTTGTATAAGTGGTGAGAGCCTGTCTTAGGCTACTCGATGGGCT